AAACATAATTTTTTCTTAATTACGAACCAAGAGTAATTGTAACTTTTAATGATATTTAAAAATATCATTTCTGTTTAAATAAATATATTTATGTGAAATTTTATTCAGATTTATAAAAACTAAAACTTTTATTACAGAAAAATAATATTTATATTTGAAACATACAATAAAAACTATATTTTTAAATAATATATTAGATGAGAAGTCAATTCATCATTCAAAAACATTCGAAGGTGCACTCAACGACAAATGTTTGAAACGATTTATACCTCTTTTAAACACACTCAACTTTGTTTATTCATTCAAATGTATTCAATAATCTTTCTTTCTTTAGTACTCTCTGTTCTTTCGACGACTTCATGTTATGTTAAAGATGAAGCTAAAAAATGTATCAAAGATGGAAGTGGCGAAGCAAAATGCAAAGATGACGTAAAAATAACGAAAGAAGATGCTATGGCACTCTGCGAAGATGCTTTTCAAGACAATATGGATATAACAAGTTTTGTATTCGAAGGAACAGATAAACTAGTTATTGGGAAAAATGCTTTCAAAGGTGCAACCAAGCTTGTATCATTCACTGCAAACTCTGGTATTCAGTCGTTGGGAACTAGTGCTTTTGAGGGAGACGTAGCTTTGACCAAAATAGATTTAACTGGATTGGCAGAAATACCAGAATCTGCTTTCAAAGGATGTTCGAAACTCGCCGATGTGACAGGAACAGAAAACGTCGCCACTGTCCAGAAAGACGCTTTCAATGGGTGTGTGAAACTTCTGTCAGTCAATTTTTATGCGCCACTAACAAAACTTCTCGATTCACTTGCATCACAAAACAATCTCTTTTTTCACGGAACAGTTCAACCAACTACTCTCCCAGATCCTACAACTCCAATCAATAATAAATTGAAGGTTTTTGTGACTGATTCATATACAGCTGGAACCTTTGGGGGTCTTATTGCACTTAAAGCTAATTGCACCACACTTCAATGTGTTGATATATCCACGAAAATTCCAGATGAAAACCCACCTCAACCAGCTGCTAAAACGGAAAAAGCTCTTAAATGTGTTGATTGTGATTCAAAGAAAATGAGTGTTGATGGTAACAATTATTACTGTGAAATTGATATGACCGAGTGCATTAAAACACATACCGATTGCAGAATTTGCACAAAAGAAAAATGCCAAAAATGTGTCATAAGTAAATACTTAGAAGAAGATACTTGCAAACAAACTTGTTCTGATGGTTATTACAAAGATACGACAGAATTTATGTGTAATAAATGTAAAGATGAAAAATGCAAAACATGTGGAGCCGATTTGGAATGCATTGAATGTAAAGATAATCATTTTTTAATTGAAGACACAAAAAAATGCACAACAGATTCAACATGTCCAGCTGGCTATTACAAAGAGGAAACAGCCAAAAAGTGTGTCAAGTGTGGTAGCAATTGCAAAGTGTGCACTAAAGATGCTTGTACTTCTTGTACGACAGATTCTTATTATGTTGATAGAAATGAGTGCAAAGCTTGTTCTGAATCGATTACAAATTGTGGGAAATGTACTTCTCAGAAAGAGTGCACCAAATGTTCCAAAGGCAATTTGATCAAAGATAAAACCAAATGTGTCGACACATGTCCAGACAAATTCTACTCAGCAAACAAAGTGTGTACCGAGTGTGAACAATCATGCAAAAGGTGTGTTGAAGCAGGAAAGTGTACTGAATGCCCTGATAATGATATTCTATTATTGGACACTGGAAAATGCCAGAGTGGTACAGAATGTCCAAATGGTTATTCAAAAGACACAACTGGCAAGAAATGTATAAAATGTATACATTTTCTGTAAAACGTGTGAAGATGATAAAACATGTAAGACTTGTGCAGACAAATATTTCTTTGTTGAAGACATGAAAGAATGTGTGAAAGACAAATGCCCAGACAATTACTTTACTGGTGAAAAACATGCAAAGC